TGAAGAGGGCTGGAGAGATGGCTGGGCACCTACATGGCAGCTCCCAACCGTCTGTAACTGCAGATGCAGCGGATCAGGCACCATCACACAGACACACCTGTAGGCAAACACACACACACACAGACACACCTGTAGGCAAACACACACACACACACACACACCTGCAGGCAAACACACACACACACCTGCAGGCAAACACAGACACACCTGCAGGCAAACACACACACACACACACACACACACAAATTGATCATTTTCAAGGGCAAAAGAAAGAGAAAAAAAGGAGGGAGGGAGGAAGACTGATCGATCATCTGAAGCAAGGCTTGTCGCAGAAGGCAAGTTGAATCACAGAAATGTAGAAAAATCGCTTTTAAACAACCAAGGACATTGTGCTATCTTAAATATTTCTTACATGTGTTCTGTAAAACTGCCAAAGAAACATACTCACTTGCACCTGACATAAACTTCAGTAATTATTTGCAGTTTCAGAGAATATTATACCACTTAGCACCTCATACAAAAGTACAGTAAATTTTATTTAGAAATTATACACAACATATTGCTGCTGAAGGGGGGGAGTTGGTTTGCGTTTTGTTCTGTTTTTAGATTTCTTTCTTCTATCTCTCCCTTCCTTTCTTTCCATCTTTCTTCCTTTCTGTTTGAATGTGTATGTGTGTCTGTGTGAGTGTATGCTTGGGATGCCTGGGTGACACAGAGACCAGAAAAGACCATCAGGACCCGGAATTACAAGCCTGTGAGCCGTCCAGTGTGGGCTCCGGGAACCCAACTCTGGTCTTCAGGGAGGGAGCACTCACATTAACCACTGAGCCCTCTGCAGCCTGCTGTGTTTTGTGTGTTTGTTTGTTTGCTTTGGGGGGGGGTGTCTCACTATCCTGCCCTGGCTGGCCTTGAACTCAGAGATCTGCCTTGAAAGTGCTGGGATTAAAGGAATGCAACATTAAACCGGTGGGGCCATTTTTTGAGACGAGGTTTCAAGTAGCCCAGGTTGGCTTTATATCTCCAAGGATGCCTTTGGACCTCTCATGCTCCTCCCACTTCCTGAGCGTTAGAACCGAAGCATCTTGCTGGAAGCCGGGACTGTTTTGCTTTTCTATAATGAAAATCTGTTTTTCACTTCAGCATAAGGGAAACTTCCAGCCACATCTGAAGCTCAAATCTCACAGTCAACTCACTCATCCAATACACTCCTGGTTCTATTTTTTTCTACTTCTGATTCTATACTTCTGTATTTCTTCTCATTGTTGTTGGTCTGTTTCTGGAGAGACGGTCTCACCATATAATATATACAGCTCTGGCTGTACTCACAGAGATCCACCTGCCTCTACTTTTTTACAAACTACTACTTTTTTTACAAACTAACATTTAGCCAGGTGTGATGGCTGACACCTGTAATTTAGACGCTCAAACAGGACTACCAAAGTTTGAGGCTAGCCTGGGCCACACAGAGAGAGTTTCCAAGTTCAGATAATGCCTCAAATATAAGTAAAAATACTATGTATTGTGTACATATGTGCGAAACTGCCTAAAAACTTTAAAGTACTATCAATACCTCTGTTCTTACAAGCTGGCCCAACACTTATGTATGACAAGATGGCATATGTAAGAATAACATGGATCTCATTTCTCCAGCTCTTAGAGCTCTGAACAGACATATGTGGAAACTAAGAGACGCATTTTAGCAGTGTCCCAGTAAGAATCTGCTATTACTGGGAACCCATACCAATGCACACTTCATACTGCCTTTGGCCACCCCGCCCACCCCGCCCACCCCGCCCACCCCGCCCACCCCGCCCACCCCGCCCACCCCGCCCACCCCGCCCACCCCGCCCACCCCGCCCACCCCGCCCACCCCGCCCACCCCGCCCACCCCGCCACCCCGCCACTGTTCAAACCCACTTGTGAAAACAACTTAAAACTTGTACTTGACTCCTTGTATAATTAAACTAAAAGGTAAAATAAAAGCTTCCAGAATGGCCAGGTACAGAAAAGATGCCAACAGGTCAAAGTTCAGAATGAAAAAATAAATAAATAAGAGGGAGGAAGAGATCAAGAAAGGCCAAAGCCGACACAACCGAGTTTAAACTAGGAGCAAAGCTGTCTCTTTATGGAAACATTGCTTGCTCCATGTAAAGTTTCCCTTTTCGTTGCCTAGTTCAAGATTTAAAATGTTCCATAGAAAGTCATATATACATGTAATAAAGAAAGTGTCACGATGAATTCCAGTATTCTGTAGGCTAGCTGGAAAAAATGACTACAATAATGTCTGCTCAGTCTCATCGTCCAAAAGTCTACTCAGCACTTCTAGTCTTCTGAGAACCTGTCTCTCTCTCTCTCTCTCTCTCTCACTCACACACACACACACACACACACACACACACACACACACACACACTGCAGTACCTCACCTCCTAGGTGGTCAAATGAGGGACACAGGTCAGCTCCCACGCTGAGGTAGGTCTACCTCAGACAAGTGAGGTCACTGTCCCAAGCCAGACACTTTGGGGGGGGGGGCGGATGAGTCCAGACCTCACATCCCTGCAGCTAAGCTTCCCCTCAGTTGTTCTCAAGTGCTCAAACTCACTGGAAACATCCTCATGCTGACTAGGCCAATTATGGGTACATGGTTACTCAATCATCTTGGCATCAAATTGAAATAATGACCTGGCATTTCCTATCTTTACTCTGGCGACCAAATCTCTCTCCACCTTTGGTCAAGGCTGAGTATTTCTTAGTTGACTATCAGCTGAAAACTGATAAAAACAAAACAAGCCAAACAAAACAAAAATAAAGCACCCTTGGAGAAAGGGTTTCCAGTACAACTTAAAGATGAGACCATTTCCTTACACTAGGCCTGCACAGGACAGGCTCTCAACAGTCAGTCAAGGACGGGGGAGGGGCTCATGGATCTACCCCTTGCTGGTGAATTATATGGCTGACTGACAGCCTCTGCGAGGAGGAGCCACCGTCTGAGTGTGTACAGCACGCTGTCAAAATGCCCCCCATGTCAGCGTCAGTGGACATTCCAATCCCACAGCCACACAGACCCCACCGGGGACAAACCCCGAGAGACAGAAAACAAAAAGACACGATACAGGAAAGAGATGCCAGATAGATGGACAGGGAAAGGGGGATTAAAGGGAGCAAGAACAGTCATGATGCATTAAACATGGACGAGACTGTCAAAGATCACATTAAAAACCTACCCCCAAGTCTACAGCACAGCATTCCTCAAAGATCACATTAAAAACCTACCCCCAAGTCTACAGCACAGCAATCCTCAGTTTTTCCTTTTTGCCACACAGGTTATCTACAGGAAAGAGTTACAGAAAAGGAAAACTATGTGTTGTGGGAGTGAACTCTGCAGAGGCAATCGTCCTTGGCATACTGTCCTCTGGTCCAGAGATGGTAGAAATGGAGCAGACCCAGGGGGATACAGGCCAGTCTTTATCAGAACATCTTCCAAAGCCAGATGGGACAGCTCTGACCAGCAGAGTCTGCTGAGCATGGTCACAAGTCTGGGAACCCAGCACCCAGAAGCTTGAGCCAGGAGGATCCCAAGTTTGTGGGTATCCCAGGCTGTGTAGGGGTCCATTCACTTTGTGATACACGATCAGATGTGTCTTAAAAACAAAATGGGGGCTGGGCGGCGGTGGTGTGCACATCTTTAATTACAGCACTGAGTACCGAGGCAGGAGGATCTTTGTGAATTTGAGGCCAGCCTGGCCTATAGAGCAAGTTCCAGGACAGGCTCCAAAGCTACACAGAGAAACCCTGTCTCAGAAAAAAAAAAAAGAAAAAGAAAAAAAGACAGGGTCTTGCTATATCGTTCAGGCTGGCTTGAATGTGCCCAGGTCTGCCTGAAAATCCTCTTGCTGTCTATTCATAATCTACACTTGGAGAATGGAGTCACAAGTAATATTCCCTTGGTTATAAAGTTAGTAAGGTAAGGACCTGGCCTTGGATTCGGGACTCTCTGACTAGCCAGCTGGTGACGGGGAAGCCACTGCAGGTGTCCCAGATGATCCCGTAGCCAAACAGGCCAGGGTACAGAGTCCTGTCCTGATTCACTTGGTATCATCTCCTATTAAGTGATAAGTGAACAAATGTTTTCTGACCACTCAGATATGCGTGCCATAGCTGGATTGTTCACTCCTGTCACGTGAAGCATGCTAAAGCCTGCTCCCTGCACCCATTTCACTTAGTCCCTCACCGGTCTAGGAGCGTTCGATACACGTGTCAAATGTGCCCACCAAACTGAAAGCATCAAAGGTCAAAGATGTGGGGTGGGAGGAGAGGACCAACAGAAGAAGGGGCTACCGTGGCTGACACGCAGAAATCCACACAGGGAATGGAGGCGTCCAAGTCACACACTCACATGACCAAACGTCAAGTGGGCATCAAGGGCAGGCCTGGAATTCCTAGCTGGGAGGAAAGCAGAGATACCTGAGTGCTCAACGCGTTCACCCACAGGGGAAGAGGGACGGGAGAGGTTAAATCCCTTCAAAGGGCCAACACATTTTAATGAATCACTTCCCTAGAGCCGACTCTCTTGACTAAATTACACTGCAATGAAAATGAGCAAGTTTGTGCACAATACTTTCCAACATCTGGGATTATTTTAGGATAATCACACGGGGCCAGTGTGATGGCTCCGTGGATAAAGGCACTTGCCACCAGGACAAGTCTGACTGCCAAAACCCACGCGGTGTTAGGTGAGAACTGACTCATGCACACGCACCACATGCACACCATGCACATACAAGTGCACACAGACTCACGAACACACACACAGCCCCCACACACAAGCGTGTACGCACATGCAGATGAGTACATTTCAAAAAAAAATCTATACATGTTAACAATATCAATTTAGTTCAACGAATATTTTAAGGCCATTTGTATATTAACAACGTATGAGTCTGTTAGTCCAGTCTAAAATCTATCTCTACATACTTACAAAACTAGCCAAGTTTCAATACCTCAAAAATCTACAGATAACGAGTCTGAACTGAAATCCCTCGTGGAACTTCCCAAACTTCTTCCCAGTTATCAGGACCATATACCAAAGGAGTCTTCCCGTTGCAGCTCAGTTTTTCGATTTAACTCTGTGATGTCACAGTACTGTGACAGCAGGAACATTCTCTGGAAACAAACTGACATCATTCAGTTCTTCCCCATAACCTCTTGGGTTGACTCTGCTGACTGATGCACTTTGAACCAGCACCTGTACAAAGCTGCCTTTGTTAGTGCTCAGAATGCCTGTCCCTGTGAGCAACCTGCACAGTTCTTCTACACTTCTAAGTAAAAATCAAGACTTACTACTTTTATCGTTGCTTGCTGCTATTGTCTTAAGACAGGGTTTGGGGTATGCCAGGTTGGCCTAGAACCACTAGGCAGCTGACATGACCTTGAGCCGGATCTTCCTGCTTCCAAAGGCTGGGCCTGCCAGAGAGCTCCCATACCCAGCACCTTCGCGTTCTCTCTACTACTGTTTTATTGTAAGAGGAAACTGTTGGTTATGTTCTAAATACATGAATTTAAGTACTAACCCTGGCATTTCAACTGAGAAAAAATTCTAATAAAACCATTTTGTTCAAGACAGTATAACTAGAAACAGCAAAACCATTCCTGCCACTGGGAAATATTCCCCTCTTGTCTCTTGTTGTTTGTTTGAGACAGCATCTTGTATGTAGTCCAGGCTAGGCTGGAACGTCCTGTGAAGAGAAGGCCACCCTGGAGTTCGGAGCAATGGTACTTCCCCTGCCTTCAGTGCCAGAATGAAAGGTCTGTGACACCGCGATTCGGCCCCATTGTCTGTTTGACTCTCCCTCTTTCTGTGTGTGTGTGTGTGTGTGTTTATATGTGTGGGCATCACATCACGAGTGTGGAGGCTGGGGAACTACTTTCAGGGGTTGGTCCTCTACAACTATAGGAGCTCTGGGGATCAAACTCAGGTTGTCAGGCAAGAGCCTTCACCTGCCAAAATGTCCCCTGCCCCCTTTGTTTTGTTTTTTTGAGATAAGGTCTCCCTCGGTAGCCCAGGCTGCCCTCAAACGCATAAGCCTTCTGTCTCAATCTCTCCAAGTGCTGGAATTATACAAATGAGATGCCATACTAGGCTCACTATGTATATTACAAACACTAGGGTAATAAATGTCTAACATGAAATTCAATGAACATGTGCTGAGTCCCTACTAGGCACCAGGTATTACACTGGTTACAAACAAGCGTTTAGTCCCTGGTATGTACCAGGTACTATACTGGTTGCCAGATGTGGAAAGTCAGAAGCAAAATCTGTTCTCAGACCTTTCCAACTTGGAGTAAAGAAGGGAACACAAACAATGACGGGAGGCTCTGGTGACAAAAACAATGGGGCCTTGTTCAGATGGAACCAGATTCTGGAACACCCGTATCACTAGCCCGAAATCCGAAGCTGACAATTGAGCTGGGAAAGACAAAGGGCCTAAAGAGACCTCCAGAAGACAGTAATCTCAGTCAGTCCTGACGAGACTCGGGCTTCTTATTTCCTCTAAGATAAACCCAAATTCCTTAAGAAGGCTAAGGAAATCCCTATGCAACCCTGAACCCTTAGGGTCTAGCGGTATCCATGTACAACATCTTGTTTTCTGCTTTACGTACTTACTGAAACAGAGTCTCAGTGTAGCCCTGGCTGGCCTAGGACTTGCTATAGAAAGAGCTTGCTGGCCTCAAACTCACAGAAATCAGCCTGCCTCTACCTCCCAAGTGCTGGGTTTAAAGGTGTGCGCCACCACTTCCCGGCAGAATCTTAGAAATTTTATCAGCATTTTAAGTCTCACCTGAATCCTTGAGTCCAATCTCTATTGCTCTCTGCAGGTGGGATGGTGAACTCAGCCTCCAGAGCAGCTGGAACTATGGGTGTCACCACCATAGCCTGCTTGATCTCAGCTTTTGCTGCTGCTAAAAAGCTGGTGTCAAACCCAAGTGGTCCTGGGTCCTGCTCCTCCGAGCTGGGTAAACAAGCTATATATATATAACTGCATTATACCCTCAGGCCTGATCTTAATCAGGCTAGGCTCTGGAGAAAAAGCGATGACTAACATATTGGAAAAACTCCAACATGAATGATAGTGACCCTACATTTACTGCTGGGCTTAGGAGAGGTCGTCATGGAGAAGCTAGGAGAAGCTAGGTGAGACCAAGAAAGCACAGCAGAGCACACCTTTAGTCCTGGCACTGTGAGTTTGAGGTCACCATGGCTTACACAGTAAGTTCCAGGCCAGCAAGGGTTACAGTGAGATGTGGTCTCAAAAAGAATTCCCCCTTTGTGGCACCTTCTAGGCAGTCCACCATGCCTAGATGAAGACGCCTACCTTCTATATATTGCTTGGAAGAAGCAACACACTAAGAAAAACAAGAAGGCTACAAAATACACTAAACTCATGGTAGCCAAGAGTGACGATACTTGCCTTTAATATCAGCCCTTAAAAGGCAGAAGCAGGTGGATCTCTGTGAGTTCTTTTGAGGCCAGCCTGGTCTACAGAGTGAGTTTCAGGACATTCAGGACATCCAGGACTGCACAGAGAATCCCTGTATTAAAAAAAAGACCAGAGAGAAGGAAGAAAGGAAGGAAGGAAGGAAGGGAGGAAGGAAGGGAGGAAGGAAGGAAAATCAGCAGGCAGGCAAAGAAAAATGCCACAGATTGCCAAGAGACATACATAACCTTTCCTCACTGGGAGCTTCTACTTCTAAATCTTGAGTCCAGTCAGAAATAAGCCTTTAAGAAAATATATAATTTTTTAAAGCCTAGCAAATAATGACTGGGACTTAGGGGAAAATAATGACCTGAATTAAAGACAGAAGGTTTTCCCACTCAGACTGTTTTTAGAGCAAAATCTCTGTACTTCCTACAATCTTTCCTTCCAATTATTCCCCCTTCCTGCTTTTCTCTGCCTTCTGAACCACACTGTCTGAAACATAGCAAGTTTCGCCTAAATCTCTAGAACAATCTTTTTTTGTAATTTTAATTTTCTTGTTATTTTTTGTTTTGTTTTGGGACAGGGTTTCTCTACATAGTTCTGGCTATACTTAAACTCACTATATAGACAAGGCTGGTCTCAAATTCAGAGCCATCCCCCTGCCTCTGCTTCCCAAGCCTGGCTAAGACTGTTCTTTACTTACTTGTCCTGTCCTTAACTCAAAGTTACTATTTCCTTTAGCAGCTGATCATGAAAACAGGAATATGACTAAATCCACCCACATCAAATTAAAACAGATGGGGCTGGAGAGATAGCTCAGGGGTTAACGATCCTTTCCAAGGACCCACATGGCAGTTCACAACCACTAGGGTGTACACTGTTGCAGGCACCAGAAATGCATGTGATGCAAGCATGCGTGGAGGCGAAGCACTCATAAACATAAAATAAATTTACAAATCAAAATAAGGTTAGATAGTTCCAGCCATTCCCGTGTGTGTGTGTGTGTGTGTGTGTGCGCGCGCGCATGCGCGCGCGCGCCGAGTGTATAGAGACAAAGATACATACATTATACATGTATTTTAAAGGTAAATAAATTTAGCTACAGTAATTTCACAGAGATGAGGGGATACCTACAAGTCCACTACATAAATCAGGCAAGTTGACTCAGACCATCGTTTCCCAGGAATTGAGGTATGAATGGTGGTACACATTTTTAATCCCAGCACTAGGAAGGCAAAGGCAGGTAATCTCTGGGAGTTCAAGGCCAGCCTGGTGAGTTCTAGGTGCCCAGGTCTACATAGCGAGTTCCAGGACAACCAGAGCTACATAAGAGAGACCCTATCTCAAAAGCAAAACAACAACAACAAAAACAAAAAACTAGCAACCAGGGGTCAGCTACCCCAAACCCATCAGTTTTCATTGCCTCTTACTTCTAGACGTTGTTGTTTGGGGGTGATTTTCTTTGCACCAGGATTTCACTAGGTAGCCCTGGTTGGCCTGAAACTTACAAGAGCTCCAATGCTGAAATTACAGGCATGTTCCACCATGCCCAGTTTACAGAGAACCTTTCTCAACAAGCGGTCAAAAACTGCAGGAAGCGCAGGCGGGAGCCCGGTAAGAGATCGGTGTTTATACTTTCTGTGTTAAGTTCATTAGATAAATCACAGCAAAACCACAATGAGGTATCGACGCTGTCTGCTTTTTTTTTCTAATAAAGGCTATGAGGCATAAGATTATTTGCTTTATAAGTTATAAGTTGGGCCGGGCATTGGTGGCTCACGCCTTTAATTCCAGCTCCCAGAGAGGTAGAGGCAGGCAGATCTCTGTGAGTGAGAGGCCAGCCTGGTCTACAGAGCGAGTTCTAGGACAGCCAAGGGTACACAGAGAAATCCTGTCTAGAAAAACCAAAGTAATAATGAGGAGGAGAAGTAGTTGTTACAGGTTGAGGAGCAGGAGAGAGGGATTAGACTGTCCTTTACATCCTTCGCTTTCCATCATCTCACTGGAAATCTTTCACCTTCTTTCCTAGAGAACCCCTGAAATTGGATAGAATATGTCTCAACAGTAACCGATTCCCTGCGTGACCAAACTATTCAGTTTCCTGAGTCTTCCACATTTCATATTTAGCAAAGAACCTTGCTGAGCCAGTTTAATTAGAACACCCTCCCCAGGTATGTGATGGGGGGAGGTCATCATCCTTCACCAGAGTCCAGGCTTGTCTTCAGCAGGACTTACCCAGAATCCCCCTGGAAGGGGATGCAGCCCCTGTCCTTGCTCTTACCTATAAATTCCTGTTTAGCCATATCCCTTTGAGGGTTAAACCCAATTTGTCTCCCCAGGGCCAAACCCATTGCCATGCACAATCCTTATCTTGCTACAGTGGTCTCTAATACAGCTCTTCGCCACGCAGCAAGTTTCATTAAATAACTTTTTCTTTAGCAGCAGTTAGATCAATGGGAAAAAGGAATCTGAAATGTTCTAGAACCGAGAAACATCATCTCTTCTGGTATTTTTTGAAAGAAAGACCCGAGGCTGGATTTGTACACATTCAACAATCAACCAGGTGGAAAGACCACTTGCATCCATTCAGTTCCAGGAAGCT